GGGGCCTGATTAGGATCCCGGCTCTGGCCAGGCACGGTGGCTTATGCCTGTAATCCTAACACTTTGGGAGGCTGAGGTAGGAGAATTCCTTGAGCCCAGGAGTTTGAGAACAGCCCAGGCAACATAGTGAGACATTTCTGTTATAAAAAAAAAAAATTTTTTTTTAAATTAGCTGGATGTGGCGGCTCACACCTGTAGTCCCAACTACTTGGGAGGCTGAGGCAAAAGGAATGCCTGAGCCCAGGGGGTCAATGTTGCAGTGAGCCATGATCATGCCACTGCACTCCAGCTTGGGTAAGAGTGATACACCAACTCAAAAAATAAATAAAAGAATTCCATCTCTGTCCTAATCAGCTGTGTGACATTGAGAAAGAACAGAACCCCTCTGGGCTTTGATTTCTCCATCTGTAAAATGGGAATATAATTAGACCTGCCTGAGAGGATTGTTATGAGGATTAAATGAGATAATAAAAATTAGCTGGGCGTGGTAAGGTGCACCTCTAGTTCCAGACAACTGGAAGGCTGAGGCGAAAGAATCGGGGGAGCCCAGCAGGTCGACGCTGGGGTGGCCATGAGCGTGCCACTGCACTCCAGCCTGGGCAACGGAGTGAGACTCCAACTCAAAAAAATAAATAAAAATAAAAAATAAACTGCATGTCTTTTGCAAATGGGAGCAGTTATCCTGTGCAAGTGGCTGTTCCTGGACTTTCTGTATGTAAGTCCCCCCAATAAAACCCATGTCTTACTCCCCACACCACCCCTACTCAATTCAGTGGCGGTACAGCCCAACAGCATCATGTCTTCAAGATACAACCATGTTATAGCATGCGGCAGGATCTTAAGATTGAATATTTCATCATATGCATATACGATGTTTTCTTTACCCAATCATCTGCTGACATTTACTTGCTTACACTCCTGTCTCTTATGAGTAATCCTATAGTGAACATGGGTATGCAGTTATCTACTGAGACAGTGTCTTAAATTCCTTTGGATATATAACTAGAAGTGGATTGCTATTGACCAAGTAACTTTTAAACCTGGTTTTTTTTACTTTATATGCTGAGCTAAAAACAAGAACTGTGAATAAAAAATAAATTCTGGTTAATAGTGACTTTTTAGTAGCATGTGTTGTCAACTCTGAGACATTGTATTTTAATCTAGGATCAAGCAAGTGCTACTTTTTGTACATGATGAAAGAGAGCTACAGATTCAAAAAGTTGTAAGGTTAGAAATAACCTAGTGCTGCAGTAGAATTAAAAGTACTGGCATGAAGTCAGGGTTTTAATACAAGAACATATGTATCAGTGTGTGTGTACATAGGTGTATACATACATACACATACACACACACACACACACACACACACACACACACACACACAAATTTCCTATTTCTTTCACTGAGACAACCTAGGGGCCTGGATACTCTGATACCAAGAAACATCCCCCGGTATACAGAATGCAGCTTCTAAATAGTATTCTCCATGAAAAGGAACCAAGGCTCCTTAGGTATTCTCATTCTAGGGCTAGAGTACAAAAAAAATACAAGATATACTGGAAACAAATTGTTGGGCCAGAAACAATTACATGCTCATGAACTAAGAATACATTTCTTGGTTTGTTTTTTTTTTTGAGATGGAGTCTCACTCTGTCACCCAGACTGGAGTGCAGTGGCCACTCCGAGCCACTGCAACCTCGACCTGCTGGGCTCCACCGATCCCTCCGCCTCAGCCTTCCAAGTAGCCAAAACTACAGGCGCATGCTACCACACCCAGCTAATTTTTGATTTATTGTAGAGATGAGGTCTCGCCAAGTTGCCCAGGTGGGTCTCAAACCTGCAGGCTCAGGCAATCCACTCACCTCAGCCTCCCAAAGCGCAGGGATTACAGGCTGAGCCACCGAAAATACATTTTTTAAAGAATCATGGCTGGCCAAAGTGGCTCACACATGTAATCCCAGCCCTTTGGGAGGCTGAGATGGGAGAACTGCTTGAGCCCGTTTGAGACCAGCCTGGGAAATATAGTAAGACCTCATCTCTACAAAAAGTTAAAAAATTAGCTGGACACGGTGGCACATACCTATAGTCCCAGCTACTTGGGAGTCTGAGGTGCAAGGATCACCTGAACCCAGGAGGTTAAGGCTACAGTAACCCACGATCGTGCCACTGCAACCTGGACAGAGTGAGACCCTGACTCAAAAAAAAAAAAAAAAATCAGAAGCTAACTTCAGGGGGATCCTATTCACCAAATCCAGAAAAATCTATGCATCAAATTAGCAGTAGCTAACTGTAACCCATAGAATAAGAATTTAAGAATACATACTCCTATAAATAAATAAGGGAAGCTCTTCCTTGTCAAAGCCCAGTTAATAAATGCAGAAGGAATTATGGAATTAAAAAATATTTGGCAGTTCCCCCAACAATAGCTACAAACCTCATGTTACTACACTTTGCTTTTATCGCACTTTACAGATATTACATTTTTGACAAATAGAAGGTCTGTAGCAACCCTGTGTCCAGTAAGTCTATCGTACCATTTTTCCAACAGCATGTGCTTACTTCGTATGTTACATTTTGGGAATTCCTGGAATATTTCAACAATTCCTATCATAACTGCTTTGGGATAACACAAACCACACCTGCATAAGACAAGCATAAATGCTGTGCTCTCACCACTCTACTGACTGGTTGTTTCCCCATCTTTTCCTGTCTTCCTGGACCTTCCTATCCCCTGAAATACAACAATAGTGAAGTCAGGCCAATGAATAACTCCACAACTAAGTATTTACAAGTGAAAGGAAGACTTGTACATTTCTCACATTAATTCAAAAGCTAAAAATGACTAAGCTTAGTAAGAAAGGCATGAAAAAAGCCAAGGTGTAGTGGCTCACACTGATAATCTCAACACTTTGGGAGGCTGAGGCAAAAGCATCACATGAGCCCAGTAGTTCAAGGCAGCAGTGAGCTATGATCATGCCATTGCACTCCAGTCGGGGAAACAGAATAAGATCAAGACCCCATCTCAAAAAAAAATAAAAAATCCAACACAGGCCCAAATCTAGGCCTCTCACACCAGTTAGATAGGTTGTGAATACAAAGAAAAATTTCTTCAAGGAAATTTAAAGTGCTACTACAGTAACACACAAATGAAAAGAAAGGAAAACTGCCTTACTGCTGATATGAAGAAAGGTTTATTTGTCTGGAGAGAAGATCAAACCAGCCAAAACATAATCCAGAGCAAGTACCTAACTTTTTTACTCTATGAAGGCTAAGAAAGATGAGGAAGCTGCAGAAGCCTGAAGCTTGAAGCTAGCACAGGTCAGTTTATAAGGTTTAAGGTAACAAGTCATCTCCATAAGCACAAAGTAAAAGCACCAAGTGCTGATGGAGAAGCCACAAGTTATCCAGATCTAGATAATTGATGGAAGTAGCCACACTAAACAATAGAGATTTAATGGAGATGAGACAAGCTTATACTGGAAGGTATCATCTAGGACTTTCATAGCTAGATAAATCAATTGACTTCAAAGCTTCAAAGGACAGGTTGACTCTCTTGTTAGGGGCTGATGCAGCCGGTGACTTTAAGTGGAAGCCAGTGCTCAATCACCACTACAAAAATTCTAAGGCCCATAAGAATTATGCTAAATCTACTCTGCCTGTGCTTTATAAATGGAACAACAAAGCCTGCATGACAACACATCAATTTACAGCATGATTCACTAAATATTTTAAGCCTACTGTTGAGACTTACAGCTCAGATTGCTTTCTAAAATATTATTATTAATAACGTACCTTAGTCAACCAATACGTCTGATGAAAATGTGCAAGGAGATTAATGTTATTTTCACACCTGATAACACAACATCCATTGTGCAGCCCATGGATTGACTTTGGCTTTCAAATTTTATCATTTAAGAAATACCTTTCACAAGGCTATAGCTGCCACTGACAGTGCTTCCTTTGCATGGATCTGGACAAAGTAAACTGCAGACCTTCTAAAAAGAATTCATCATTCTAGATGCCATTAAAAACATTCATAATTCATAGAAGGAGGTCAAGACATCAACATTAAGCCAGGTGCAGCACCGTGTGCCTATGGTCCCAGCTACCTGGGAGGCAGAGGTAGGAAGAGGTAGGAGGATCACTTGAGGCCATGAGTTCAAGGCCAAAATCCACTATGATTGTGCTAATAATCTCCACTGTACTCCAGCCTAAGCTACACAGCAAGACTCTGTCTCTAAAAACTGTGTTTTAATTTGTGGAAAAAAAAAAAGAACGAAAGAAAAACTGAAAAACCAACATTAACTGAAGTTTGGAAGAAGTTGACTCCAACCCTCATGGATGACTTGAGGAAAAAGTAGAGAAAGGAACTACAGATGTGGTGGAAATAGCAAGAGAGCTAAAACTAGAAACGGATCCTCAAGACAGATGTGAGTAAACTGTAACAATCTCATGGAAAAGCTTTAACAGGTGAAGAGCTCTTATGGATGAGCGAAGAGTGGTTTCTGGAGATGAAATCTACTTCTAGTGAAGATGCTGTGAACACTGTTGAAATGACTACCAAGTATTTAGAATATCACAAAAACTTAGCTGATAAAGCAATGACAAGGTTTGAGGGGATTAACCCTAATTCTGAAAGAAGTTTCACTGCAGGTAAAATGCTATCAGAAAGCATCACCTGCCACAGAAAAACCTTTTGTGAAAGGAAGCGTCAATCAATCTGGCAAACTTCACTGCTGATTTTAAGAAACTGTCACAGCCACCACAACCTTCTGCAATCACCGCCCTGATCAGCAGCCATCAACACTGAAGCAAGACCCTCCACCAACAAAAAAGATGACTCACTAAAGGCTCAGTGACCATTTTGCAGCAATAAAGTATTTTTAAGCAAAGGCACATACTTTGTCTTTCTAGATATTATGTTATTGTGTACTTAGAATACAGTATAGTGTAAATATAACTTGTATGTACTGAGAAAACAAAGCATTTGTATGACTCACTTTATTGCAATATTCACTTTATTGTGGTGGTCTGGAACCAAACCTGCAACATGTCTAAGGCATGCCTGGATGTACATCAATAGGGTTTATCTCCATTGCAAGATCTTACATATTTAGTAAGACCCAAGGAAATAATGAAGGCTTTCCATGTTCCCTACATTGCATGGATCCAGGGTGAGTTCTTAAATGCTGGATTCTGATTAGATTCCAATGGCTTGAGAAGAATGTCTATTCTTTAAACAACCAACGAAACAAAACAGATTCCAATTGTTCTACAACATTCCCATAATCACAGGGCATACTGAGAATAAAAGTTCTTATCTACTATTCTAAGTGAATGAGGATACTTGAAGGCTTTCCCAAATTCTTTATACCAATAAGGTTTCCCATAGCATGAATTCAAATATGATTATAGTATGAGAAAATTCTAAATGACTTCCCATATTCCTTATATTAAAAGTGTTTCCTTAGTGTGTTTTTAAATGTTTAGTTAGTAAATAAAACCTATTATAGGCTTTCCCACATTCATTACATATGTAGGGTTTTTCTCCAGTATGAGTTCTAACATGTTTCTGCAGGTGTGAAGAGGCACGGAAGGTTTTTCCACATTCCTTACATATATACGGTTTCTCTCCAGTGTGAGTTCTTATATGTTCAATAAGCTGGGAAGACGTAGCAAAGGCTTTCCCACATTCCTTACATTCATAGGGCTTCTCTCCAGTGTGAATTTTTATATGATTATGTAGGCTTGAGGAAACAGTGAAGGCTTTCCCACAGTCCTTACATTTATAGGGTTTTATTCCAGTGTGAATTCGAATGTGATTCTTAAGGCATGAAGAACTTCTAAAGGATTTTCCACATACCTTACATTCAAAGGGTTTCTCCTCCGTGTGAGTTTTAAAATGTTCAGTTAATAGATAAAACCTATTGTAGGCTTTCCCACATTCGTTACATTCATAGGGCTTCTCTCCAGTGTGTATTCGTACATGTTTAGTAAGGCCTGAGCGCCCAGCAAAGGCTCTTCCACAATCCTTACATTGATACGGTTTCTCGCCAGTATGAATTCTTACATGTTCGGCTAGGTGTGAAGAAACAGTGAAGCATTTCCCACATTCTTTACATTGATAGGGTTTCTCCCCAGTATGTATTCGCATGTGACTATTAAGATATGAAGAATATCTAAAGAATTTTCCACATTCTTTACATTCGTAAGGTTTTTCTACAGTACGCATTTGAACAGAGACAGCATGACTTGCTGTGTAAGTAAAAGCTCTCCCACATGGCTGTTCCTCATAAAGTATTTCTCCACTGTGAGTTATCCTGTTTTCCTGAAAGTATGACTGACTAACAAAGACCTTCTCACAGTCACTGCAATCACAGGAATTGTCTCCCATGCACATCCTCTGATGAACAACATTGTGTGGCAGACTACACTGATTAAACACAGAAAATGTCTCTCCAGTAGGGGTTTCCTGGTGCAGACTAAGAAAGCTTTCTCCATACTGATTACAGTCATAAGTGTTCATTGTATCTTGAGTTCTCATGTGTGCCTGAAGGCATGAGTGTTCAGTGAAGAGGTCTCCATTTTCCTTGCAGTCACAGAGTTCCCCTCCATTGTCACTTTCTGCCTGTTAATGAAGGAATGAATAATGATTAAAGGACTGCTCAGACCTTAGCAGAGTCTACCCACCTGAAATCAAACATATTGCTGACGATTATAATTCTTGCCACCTTTATTACAGGGATACAGTTCCTGTCTTGTGGATTTTTCTCAAGCTAAATGAAAAAATCCTACTGCAAGAATCCTGGCCGGGCTCGGTGGCTCAGCCTGTAATCCCATGCTTTGGGAAGCTGAGGTGAGTGGATTGCCTGAGCCCACAGGTTCGAGACCCGCCTGGGCAACTTGGCAAGACCTCATCTCTACAATAAATAAAAAATTAGTCGGGCGTGGTAGCACACACCTGTGGTTCCGGCTACTTGGAAGGCTGAGGCGGAAGGATCGCTGGAGCCCAGCAGGTCGAGGTTGCGGTGGCCAGGAGTGGCCACTGCACTCCAGTCTGGGCGACAGAGTGAGACTCCAACTCAAAAAAAAAAAAAAGAATCTTGTGCCATCTTTTCTAACCTATAAACTTTCATAAAATTATTTTTAAAATCTCAATACCTAGTTACATATGTGGTAATATGTACTCATGAAAAGGCTGAAGCACCAAGTTTCAAGATAGAATTAGGGTACCCCAAATTCATTAAAGTATCCCTCTAGAGACATTCCTCCTGCTTGGGTGAATGTCACTTCTCTCAAAAAGCTCTCATTTTTACTAATTTTCTAAAATGGACTCCCCATCTTTTTTGAGTGTGGTAAATAAGAAGTTTTCTTTCTTAGTCTTACCATTTGTATGATGTCTGATGCTTATTTTAGTCAAAAAAAATGCTGCTGAAGTGCTGACACTTTGGTTTTAAGTTGCCATTCTGAAATAAAACAAAAAAATAAGGGTTTGCAGGGAAAAAAAGGTAGGTTAAGTAAGTTCCAAATGATAACGCTCATTTGTATTTTTCATATTAAATACACTAAAACATTAAGCAAATAAACATTTGACTAGTCTGGCTATGTTTAATATTTTTCCTACATAAGAACTTAGGGTCAAAACTTGGTAATTTTTTTCAACAGTTTCTATGGCAATTAAACATAATGGGAAAAACAAACAGGAAAGGATAGTAGGGAAGTAGAAATGACAAGGACAAAGCACATAGAAGAGGGGGGACCCAAAAAAAAACAACAAACCTCAGAAATATCTTTTGGAGGTTGAGCCTCCTGTAGTACAGGCCTCCCCCACTAGGTAAGTGTCCTAGGCATCTGCATTAGTGGTCCTGCTGGTGTTGTTATGAGAGGCTGCATCTGGCTTCAATGAATTTTTTTCTGGAGATTCTTTCAAAGCACTTGCCTATTTCATGGTAGGTGGTTACAAACACACCTGCCCACACCACACTGAGTGTTCAGCAGTTTTGGACCAAAAACAGCTTGTCCCCCATGCCCCACCCTCCCTGTTCACCTGATCCCACCCCAAGCAACTTATTCTTGTTTCCCCAGATGAAAAAAATACTCAAAGGGAAACATTTTGCTGACCTGGAACAGGTAAAGCAAAAGCCACAGAAGCTCTAAACGGCTTCAAAAATGACAAGTTCAAAAACTGTCTTGAGCAGTAGAAAAAGCATCTCAACAGGTGTATTTCATCAAATGGAGAGTTCTTTAAGGATGGCTGAAGTTTAAACATGTAAGAATAAATATACAATTTTTTATAAATAAATTCTGGGTTTATTGGGGTCCCCCCTCACGTATCAAATCATAAACTAAAAGAAAAAAAAGCGAGTTGGTTGTGAAATCTTAAGAAAGTTTGAACTAGATGAAAAATAAAATACGGGAAAATGTTGACATCTGAAAACTTATGAGTCCAATGGCCTCATGTTCTGTGATAAATTACATCTGTAAAAGAATGTCCTCATTATACTTCCAAGCACACTGAACTTCTCATTGACCAGGGATGTTTTCAAAGCACTCACCTTGGAGAACTCCTGTTGGCAATGTGCTCAAGTCTTCCTCCTCAGCTGAGTGCAGACTGGGTTTGAACAGCTGATATCCCTCTGTTCCTGTACAGAGGGAAAGAAACACCAGTGGAAGAGACTTACACAAGAGGTGAAAAACTTATCTATGAAACAGGAACTACATCCCTAAAGAAAGCAATGAAATTACTTCAAACATGCTCAAGTTGCATATATTCCCTCTTTCTGTGCCCTGAAAACTTCGGTTATCTCTGACCCCTAACATTCACCATTCATGCTTAAATATATTTGAAAACCATTAAAATTTTAATTCAAATAGGAAATAACCTAAGCACAAAAAGAGATCTTCATTATTTTTTTCTTACAAGGTTGCCTAAAGCTTGAATATCCTGTCTTTTAAAGAGTTTTTTGTTAAAGAGTTTTTTGTTTTATTTCTCACATCTTGGGTAGCATTATGTCTCTTTCAGAAAACAGTGCTTGTTTCTCACATCTTGGGTAGCATTATGTCTCTTTCAGAAACCAGTGCTGACAGAGCTTGGCTCACTGAAGGCATGCTGAGACTGTTCTCTTATAGACAACTAGGATTCTTCTCAGCATTGTGAAAGTAGTCCTAGATTACAACTAAATAACTTCATTACAAGCTGGAAACCTCAGTTTGCAGGAAACATATCAAATTACTCTTAAGACTCCAATGGTGGGAGGAACACTCTCCTCTCTGCACTCACACACCACCCATGACTAGCCTGCATATCTAAGACCTGTTTTCCAAGGCCTCCTAATATGGATGTTTAATGTTCCAGGTTGCAACCATGGTGGCACTCTGATTTCTTCTGTACATCTGCCCCACCGGTTATGGCTGGTTTATATTCCGGAGGGTTGTACTATGCTTGCCAAATGACTGCCGACCATCTCTTGGTCCAGACAATATAGCAAATTTCTTCACCAACAGGGTGCAAGAGCATCTTCTCCAACAAGATCTGAAGCTAAGAGATTTGGGGAGAGGCCTCTATACCCCCAGCAAGTTTGGACTTCTTTAGGTATTCTCTGTTCGACTCTATGGTATCTATTAGTTTTCTTTATACTTTTTCTTTATAAAATAATCAGGGAGGAGAGGCGGCAAGATGGCGACCTGGCAACCCGGTGTCTGAAGCCCTCTGCAAGGGAGATCTGCAGTGGGTCTCTGACTCTCGCCCCCGGGTAGGCTGGGGACCCCAGCATTGCAGCCTGCTCCTCAGACAGAGCTCGGCCATCGCTATCACTGGAACATCGCAAGGACTGGACAGTTTTACTGCATTGCAGTCTCCCGCCGCTGCCGCAGCCCCTCCCCCCACCAGCGCTCCCGCCGCCGCCGCCGCCGCCGCCGCCGCCGCGGCCTCTGGCACGGGTAGCTCATCACAACCCGGCCGGAGGAGATCCACATCACACCGCTTCAGGGAAGATCTGCTGGGATCACTGCCACCGCTCCTGCGACGGAGACTGTCCTGCCCACCCGGCGTGGGGCTCCTGTTGCCTGCTCGGAGGCAGGCAGCCATCTTGTTCCTGTCCGGCCCCACCCCCTCTGGGGTGAGTAGATGAGATAGCACCACCTGCTGGCGATTCAAGGTAACAACACCGAAACGGGAGAAACAACCTTGATAAAGACATAGACCAAACTTCTGAACCGAGGTTAATCTGAACTGTCCTTCACAGCAGATCAGGGGAACTGACCCTAACTGCAAACTAATTTACCAGCTTGAAAAAAAAACGAGAAATCAGACCTGAAAGGACATTGGACTTAAACGAAATGTCTCAGAGTGTGCTTCATTGATTCTATTAGTTTAATGACTTAATTCTATTCCTACTGTATTGTTCCCTTTTTTCTCTTTTCCTTTTCTTCTCTTTTATTCTGTCTGTGAACCATGTCTTTGTATAGAGGAACAGCACACTAATAAGGTGGTTGGATAGCTGGTATGTTAGCATCACTATATGTTTTATTTTTGTTTGTATGAGAGTTGGTTCGACTGTAGCGGTGGTCTATTGTTTTTATCTGTTTCAGTATAGGCCTCTCTCTCTATTTGTTGGCACACTCGTTTGTTTCCCCCTTTACTCCTCTATCTCTCCACTTCCCTTTTCAACCCACTATCTGCTCGATTCTCTCCCCTCTGCTAACCACATTTTATTTCAGGAGTAAACCTACAGCTCCACTGCCCTGGAAAGATTCCAGGGCAATGGGAA